TGATTGGTGGAATTTTGTAATTTACCAATAAAATTTTCGAAATTCCCTTATTCGAAAATGTGGACAGTTTAAGGGATAATTCGTTGAAATGACTAAATAAAATTTTACAATGCTTGCTCAGAGAATTAAAACGAAATGAAAAACGTTTAAAAAATCTTTATTATTATTGAATTGAGTTGGAGTTCCTCCTATTCGTAATAGTAATAGTGATATCAATTTTTTTACATATCAAAAGCATCAACAGCATTTAAAACCATTCCCACTTAGAATTACTCTGCAAGCTCTAGCACCAGCACAAAATCCTCCTTAAGAGGCTCTCCTCATTGCTTTGCACAAAATTTCCGCCCCAAGTGTCTAAAGGCGGCATGATTTCATTCAACGAGAGTCTCCCGACGTTTCTGCCCACTAGAAATGAAAAAAAAAATACAATATAACATCAGAGGAGTTTTACCAATGGTCAATCTAGAAGCAGGTCAGAGCTAAGTACTATACATATCTAACAATAGATAAATTGGTAGAATGGCTAAGTAAACCGGAAATAAAAAAAATAATCCAACTCTCGGGAAAAAGAGCATCAAAAATGGGCAAGAGTGGCTTGATCAAATAGAGGAGATGGGACCGGAATCCAATGACGAACCTAGTGAAAGAACCAGAAGTACATTTTAAAAAAAATCCGAGATCCATATATTGATAGGAGCCAAAAAATTTAATGAAGGGAAAGTATGCGATTACCATGCAACTGTACCACAAGGATATCATGCTGAGGGTGACCATTAGCATCCTTTTGAGTCAATTGAGGAAAAGATCGCAGATATATATATAAAGGAGAGTTAGGTTTTAAAGGGTGGATTAAAGGTAAGAATAGTGTTAATTGCATTAATGAAAAATTTAACAGAGCCTAGACCGGGAATCCATGAAGATAGAAATTATTAGATGATCGAACCAATGTGTGTATAAAAGGGGTTATAATAGATTAGAATTGTCCAAAAAAATCCTTATTTGGCTACTATTTATATTTTGTTTATTATGTTAGTTTATTATTATTACTATTATGGTTATTGTTATTATTATTATAATACTGTATTGTTGATATTATTATTTTTTCGATGAAACCATAACAAATAATTAAATTCTTGTTACACATTATGAAAACGTATAGCTTTTGTTTAAACGCGATTCGTAATCTTGTTTCAACTAGTGATGGGGGCGTAAAAACCTTTTCCGATTAGTTTGTTAAAAATTTTCGGTTTGGCTCAAAGTTAATAACTATATATACTAATAATTTAGGAGTTACTATATTATTATTATAAAAAAGCTTTCATGGAGAACACACGGAAAATGAATTCCACTACTTCCAACAGTTTGATTTTTGAAATAGAAATAACGCGGACAAATTTATCATTTCCGTATGGGGCCTGGCCACTCACTTTGTTGTGATAATGTTATCTGTATTTATATATAATCAAAATAAAATATCATTGATACAGAAATTATTGTTTCCATTTCAGATAATAAAAAGGCTTTGTACTAGTACCACAAAAATCGTTTATTAAATATTTATTTATAATTAAAATAGTCGAAATCCAACCCTAAAATATAACGACCAAAAAGACTTGGCAACACAGGAATCTGGATGGGCCTTTTTTCAGTGATAAAGAGATATTTTTAGAAATATGCACTTTCAGACTTCCGTGTGATACGAAGCTTTAGACAAACCACAACTTGGTCCAATAAATCTTAATGATAATTATGGTTTTAAAGATTGTGTATCAGCCTATCATGCAAGAGAAGATGTATTAAAAGCAGGACAGAAACCTGCACACCTTGAACGCATAAATAAAATTCGGCGTTATGCCAACATAGCCAATTTTGATGGTATAAATTTTCCATAAACACTTCATGACATAGATAAATTTGAGGAGATCAATCCTAATTATGCTACCAATGTATTATATATAGAAGCATTCGGATGAATAAGGGTAGAAATCGATCCTTTATGGGGGAACCTAAATGATCGAAACAATATGAATGACATTCCAGAAGGATTAAAAACGCATTATGTACTTATAATAGACTTTGAGCATTTAATGTCGAAAATGTCTGGATTTTCCATACAACCGATTGGATTTATTAGAAAAACATATTTCCTGGCGTAAAGGAGCAAGCAACAAACTATTCTTCCAAAAGAAGAGAAAAATTTTGTTATGCTCAAATATTTCAAAAATATGTTAATTTATTTACTCTTGACTTGGAAGCAAAAGAAACCTCAACAGAGGAAAAATGTTAGGAAGAAAATACAATAAAAGAAGCTAAGCAAATAACAATCTCGTATGGATATATATTACATCATTAAATTAAAAATAAATAATCTCGATCAATAAGTTAGTTAATAAGTTAATGATCGACGAAGCAAGAAAAATGATGATGATAAAAAAATCACATGTAACTAGTCCATAAAAAAAAGTGTTATTATTTCCATTTTTGAATATAATATCTCTAGTTTATCGGTATAGAGAGATTTATGAAAAAGTCATGATCAAAAATCTTCGGGAATAATAAAAAAACAAATTTTCACACAATTTTAGTTTTCTTTCGTCATAAAATTTTCCTATGTTCCGTGTAACGTTTATAAAATCGCTAATCTGCTTGTATGACACCCCCAATATCCATTCAATGATTTTATAAATTTATATCATATTATGTATCGGTAAAACATAAATTATTTTGCAAGTTGTATATTAGAAAGATTAATTTATTAAATAATAATAATTATTAAAAATAATAATGATGAACCATTTTTCTATCTATATATATTAACATTTTTAAAAATCACCAAAAGTCCATTTTTTCTTCTTAAATCCAACTCGTGATATTCTTCATTTTCACCCACTCTAATCATAATAATAACAAATAACCAACCAACCAATATAAATAAATGCCCATATGATATATATATAAACATATACACATAAAAAATTATTGAAGAGGTTCATCACTATTTGAAAGTCGATTCAAATGAAGATAAACATCTGTTCCAAACCTACTCAACATTATATATATATATATATATAAGGATTAAATAATATCAATTGTGCAAATACATATATAACACACACATATAAAACTTACCCTTCCATTGAAATCAGCTTTAAATCACCACCAAAATATCTTGCATACTATTTATTTAAATAGGAAAAAAATATAAAAATTTTATTATATACATATATACATACATATAAATAAACACATTGAAGGAATATTATACCAGTCTGCTAATTGGTAATCCATAACCATATCCGGCCATTGGTGCTCTAAATTCCTTTTGATTAAAATCTGGATCTAACGCTTTTGCTTGTGCTGTCGTGTACATATAGGTCCAAACTAAAGGAATACTACTTCTTGGAATGCCACCGCCTTCATCTGATATCTTTATAGTGATATCCTAAAATGATAATAATAATAATAATAATCATAATCATAATCATAATCATCACCATAACCATAATAATCAAATGTATCGCCATACCTCTTGTCCTTTTGAAACAATAATTTTGATTGGTGGATATTCATCTGCATCATCACCTGAAAACTCAACCACAGCACGTAAACTGTTTTTCAATAATTCAAAAAGCATATGACTCAAATGAGTCGGTATATAGGTAAAGTTCAAATCATCAGGACAGTACAATTGAATTTCAGGCGCATTAAATAGTCCATAATACTCCTCACAGATAAATTTTGCATTATCAGCAGCCTCTTGAACAGCTTGTCCTATATTTGTTTTGGTACAAATTATACCTACATAATCTGATCTTGATGGTAGTCGGTTTAATGCTACATGTTGACCTTTAAAGTTTTTAATAATTAAATATTAAATATCATTATTAGTTAAACATTATAATAATATTTATATAATTTTACCAATTAATACACGAATCCCAATCCGTGACATATAAAAACGATCCAAAAAAGATTGAACATCTACATCAATAATATTTTTATCTCTTTTTATTTTGTATTCGATTATTCCTTGGGCTAATAAAGATATAATGATAATAATGGTGGTAATAATAATAATATTATGATTATAATTTTAAATAATATAAATATAAACACGTCCAGATAAAATTTTTTTTTAATTTAAAAATAAGGATATTTGTTTATTTAAATTTAAAAGGAACTCCTTACCCTAAAATTGATAGAACTTATGAGTGGTGAATCTTTATAGTTAGAAAATATTTCATAAAAAATAAAAAATAAATTTTTTTTTTGATAATAAATAAATATTATACCACATTAGTCACAACAGGATCGTGACGCTTCTTAATTCCTTCTATTAATTTTGTAAATTTTTCATTATAATATCGAATTTCCGGTGGCCAATCAACCTCATCGATCTTTGAATAATATCTATATATATATATATATATATATATACATACATACATACACACAGACTCATTAATTTACATAACAAAACAATCTTAATCTTAATCATGATAAAAATAATTATCTTAATACCTATGTTCAAGAGGTATGACTGTATTTATGCTTGGTGTTATTGTAGTTGACGATGATGGTGTTATTGTTGGTTTTAATGATGGATTAGGAGTATTTTCAGGTAATTTGGTTTGTTCACCTGAATTAGGCGCAAGCATATCTTTAATATTTTGCGGTAATTCTAATTTTGGAAAATTTACCAATTCCTAAAATAATAAAACTATTATTAATTAACATAGATTGATTCATCAATCGACTAATTAATTATTAAAAAAATCAAAATGATATATTATATATGAATTGTAAAAAATATGTATATTTGTTCACTTTTTGTGTAAATCATACCGCAAAAGATTGAGCATACCAATTCTTTACTTTAATTATAGATGGCATTTCACTAAGATGATGAGGTAAATCATCTAACTCTTTAACTCTACGTGCCAATCTAATTGGTAATTCATCTATCAATCATAAGATTAAATTTATAAAAATAATATTATTTTCGATTTATGGCAACAATCGATTTTCAATTTTCATAATTTATTTATTTTTACCTGACAAAAATTGACTAGCTCTAAATAAGGTTCCTTGAGAAGGGTTTTGACCTATATACATTTTTTCATTTTAATATTTCAAGGTTTAAATAAATTATTGTTTTTTTAAAAAAAAAACCGAAACAAATATTAATTCATTTTTTTAAAGAAAAAAAAGTAAGGCAGGTACGCGCACCAAACATAACCATCTGTCTTAACGACACTCCAGTTTGAGGAAACTTTGCATAATGGTTGATCTTCTCCTGTAATTTTGGTGTAATTCTGTACGCCATACTTTTCGTTTATGATTATTATGGTTGATTTGTTGTCGTGAAACCTCTTTAGAAGTAAGCATTAAAAAATATAAATTATAAAAATTATTATAAAATTTTGAATTTAAAAAAAAAAAATTTATGTAACACAAATTGATGGCACAAAATTTCATATTAGAAGGATTGTGACACAGAAAATCCTCATGTTTTTTGTAGTTTTTATTCACTGTTATTATAAATATTAATATATATAAATTTACTTTTTTTTAATAAAAAAACCAAAGTATGGATCAATACTCAAATTATGGTGGTCAACAAGAACCACCTTCAAATTATGAATATCCACAATGTAGGTTTAAAAGGGGAAAAATTGAGAGGTTCTATTCTTGGTTAAAACTCCAGCTCCATTTTTTTTTTCGACTAATTATAAAAATTGAGTATTTTTTATCAAAAAAACAAATAAATAAATTTCCATTCCTTTTTTTTCAAATTAAAAATAATAATATTGATAGACAACGATCCGTATGGCCAAGGTGGGTATGTAGCTCCAGCGAATCCTTCATCGGAATATTATTACGGGGGTGACAATCCACCTCCACCTCCACCATCATCTTCTTCAACGTTCAACAATAGCAGCAACAAAAATAATGATAATAACGGTAGTAGTAATAGTAGTAATGATGCTACTAATATTAATAATAATTTTAATCATCATCAACAACAGCAATCACAATTTTCACAACTGTTACCACCGTCATCATTACCGGCACTTATCTCTTCCTCGTCATCTTCTTCTATAGATTATTATCAGCAACGTCCTACTTCCTCTTCAGCTGTTGCTGCTACTGCTGCTACTACTATTAGTGGCAATGAAAGTTATGAAGGATTAGGTGGTAGCGGAGCTAATGCAAGTGGTGGTACTAATTACGGTAATTATACAATAGATGAGCCTGTTCTTGATACTACTGGCTTTTTTTATCTCTTGTTGCTTCTAGAAATCATCATCATCATCATCGTCAAAAAAATAGGTCAAGATTTAACATCGGATAATTCATCATTGTCGTCTGTTCCACCGCCACCATTGTCATCTTCATCATATGAAATACCTAATAATAATTACAATCGTAATGATTATAATAATCTATATGGTGATAATTATTACGGCAAACCTCAAGGTGGCGACAATATTAGCAACCGCAATTATAATTATAATAGTAGTAGTAATACTATTAATAATAAAGGCAATAATAAATATGACAATTACAATTACAATTACAATTATGGTGTTAGTGGTAGTGTTGTACAACAATCATCATTATCACCACCACCACCCAAAATACAATCATCTTATAGAAATCATAATGAAAGTGATTATAAGGGTCAGATGTCATTTCTTTGGGCTCGTCTGATGAAGACGAAGAAGAAATTAAGCTAATATTTTTCTTTTCTCTATTTTTAAGTTCAATCCAAATTTTTAATCGCTTCTGTTGTATTTTTTTTTTTTTAGGTTTAGTGGTTATAAAATCTTTCCACCGCCTTATAACCAATAATTTTTATTCCTCTTTCTTCATGGACATTACTGCTTAAACCTCAACATTCACGATTTTTCTGAATTCCATCATGAGTCAAGATTATCTTTTCATTAAGTTCTTCAAATATCTGGGTAACCTCATTAGCTACTTATTGCCTTTTGTTCTTCCTACAGTATTTTGTGAATATTACGTGAATGAGCACGCAACAAAAATGATTTAGATACACAAAGGTTTTCTCTTTTTAAATATCAATGAAACAGCAAGGGGAAATATCCAAAAAATCAATCATGGATGTAATGATCAGCATGGTCTGATGGGTCGACGTACAAAACCAATCAAGCCTTAAATCTTTTGATTGTTTCGTTGATAATGTAGATATTTATTACAATTTGCATTTGTTTTCAATTTAATAATGGTTGTTGATTTTAAAAACGGATCCATCTTAAATTAAAGATCCACCGCAGGTAAATCTTTGTCAAATTTCTTCATTCTTTCTATCACACGTGTCGTAATATGTCTTCATCTGAAAGGTGAATGAGATTAATGGAGCAGGCGAGATAAACAGATCAACGGATGAGTTTGCAGCCCATACTTGGACCATCAGTCCTAAACTTTAGTCTGGACCCTTATTCCAATTTCTTGACCATTACATATGTTTTATAGTTTAAATATCTCAATTTTATTAATTATGGTTTCTAGGCTTTATAACAAGCCGCATATAGATGTGTTATTGACTCAAAATCATATGATTTTCTGAATTGTGTCTATTTTTCGTGCCCATCCTATCACTATTTTCACTGCCAAAAAAATTTTAATCCTTTACCAGTTATTCATGAAATGTTTATAATTAATAAACGTGTACACTAGCAAACTTTTTATTAATATAATTTGGCAAAGGCAATTGTATCAATAATCCATGGAATTGATGGATTTTCATTCACTATAAAATAAATAAAGTAATTAATTAATACAGAAATAACACATCAACAGTTTGAAGTTTAAAAATATCCACGTCTAAATGATGATGTATCAAGTATATATTTTTTTATCTACAAAAAAAAACTCAAATTTTCAAAAAATACAAATAAATCATAATAAATAAAAATAAATAATTTAAAAAAAATATATATATTTATATAATCCATTCCAATTATGAATAATTTAGATACTTACCAAAATTCAATTATTATTAATATATAACAAATTAATATATAAATAAATAAAATGATGATGATTTCTAGAAGCAACAAGAGATAAAAAAAGCCAGTAGTATCAAGAACAGGCTCATCTATTGTATAATT